TTTCATGGCAGTTTTTATTCTTTTGTTACAGAGATTAAGGAATGAAAGAGGATTAATTAACGGAGAATGTAATTCTCCGTCGAACTGTCCTTTTTTCTCCCTTAATCTCAATTAGGAAGGGAGAGGTGAATTTTTAATTACCGGGAGTCACTGTGCGCCGCAATACAATTATTTTTCTTACTGGCCCCTGACTTACATGGCGATTTTTATTTTTTTGTTACAAAGATTAAGGGATGAAAGAGGGTTAATTAATGGAGAATTTAATTCTCCGTCGAACTGCCTTTTTTTCATCCCTTAATCTCAATTAGGAGGGGAGAAGTGAATTTTTAATTCGCGGGCGAATGGTGAATAGTCAGTGTGCGCCGCGAAAAAATTATTTTTCTTACTGGCCCCTGACTTTCATGGCAGTTTTTATTCTTTTGTTACAGAGATGAAGGGATGAAAGAGGGTTAATCGATGGGGAATTTAATTCTCCGTCGAACTGTCCTTTTTTCTCCCTTAATCTCAATTAGGAAGGGAGAGGTGAATTTTTAATTACCGGGAGTCACTGTGCGCCGCAATACATTTATTTTTCTTACTGGACGCTGACTTTCATGGCAGTTTTTATTCTTTTGTTACAGAGATTAAGGGATGCAAGAGAGTTAATCGATGGGGAATTTAATTCTCCATCGAACTGTCCTTTTTTCTCCCTTAATCTCAATTAGGAAGGGAGAGGTGAATTTTTAATTACCGGGAGTCACTGGGCCGCGAAACTATAATTTTTCTCACTGGCCCATGACTTTCATGGCAGTATATATTTTTTTGTTACAGAGATGAAGGGATGAAAGAGGGTTAGTTAATGGAGAATTTAATTCTCCGTCGAACTGCCCTCTTTTCATCCCTTAATTTCAATTAGGAAGGGAGAGGTGAATTTTTAATTACCGGGAGTCACTGTGCGCCGCAAAACAATTATTTTTCTTACTGGCCCCTGACTTACATGGCGATTTTTATTTTTTTGTTACAAAGATTAAGGGATGAAAGAGGGTTAATTAATGGAGGATGTAATTCTCCGTCGACGTGCCCTTTTTTCATCCCTTAATCTCAATTAGGAGGGGAGAAGTGAATTTTTTTCGCGAGCGAATGGTGAAAAGTCATTGTGCGCCGAGAAGAAAATTATTTTTCTCACTGGCCCATGACTTTGTCGTAGTTTGTATTTTTTTGTTACAGAGATTAAGGGATGCAACGGGGATTGATTGATGGGGAATTTAATTCTCCGTCACACCCTCTGTGTTTCATTCCTTAATATTAATTAGCCAGCAAATGAATCACCTGAAAAACATTAAGAACATGTTGAGGACGAGGAGGACATGAATTCCCCTCCGAAACTATCCCTGTGACAGCGGGACTGCTACTGCCTAGTTACCCGCACAAGCAGTTCGCCCAGCCGTCAGATTCGACCGTGGCGGCATCCCTCCGTTGGGGTCGAACTACTTTTGGCTTGGGGTCAGTCCTCTACTTTAGTCAATCCTCTTTGCGTAAAGTTCTCACCACAAGACAAAGGTCTTCGGGAAACTTCGGTCGAACGCCGGAGACTGCCGAAGACCATTCTCTTGTGGCGGTGACTTTACGTTTGTTTCTCACCCTTTCGTTCCGTTGCCGTCTTCTTCGCGCATTTGAAATTTTGCTCAATAATCAATCGAAGAATCCACCTCAATCCACCTGTAAGATGGCCGATTTCCGTGGAGTGCCTGGTCTGAGTGGAGCTTCTGGTGAAGAACAAGAAGGTAAGTCAAGTTCTCAGGAAGAAAGACCGGTGAACTAACAATTCTAACCTCACTTGGTTCGGTTACACTACAATTTTTACAGCGCTTTTCTTGACGTTCTTTTCCAACTCATCTGAATGTGTTCCTTCGAAACTATTTTTTTTTGTTTTTAATATTTTCATGTTTCTTGAAACCTGAATTAACCTCTAACACAATTGAACCCTAATTTGTGTGGAGGGCGAGGGAGGGGGGGGGGGGAGGGATTAGAGGTTAATCCTGAATATTTTGATTTCATTGCACGTACGAAAAAATTCAATCGGAAAACCAAGAGAAATTCTATCGAATTTCTATCGGATTTTCTATTGAATTTCTTTTAGGATTCTATTAGAATTCTGTTGAAATTTGTTTTTATTTGCGGCATTTCTATACAAGATTTTAGCTAGAAAATTCAATAGATTTTCATTTCTCTATGAAATGCTTGGATTTAAATTTTCGAAGTTTTTTCCGCTGTATTTGTATTTGTTTCTAATAATCAAATCCAAGAAAAATAACTTGGAAAATTCATGCCCAAGAATTTCATAGAAAAACGAAAATCTATCGACTTTTCTATTAAAACTCTGTTTCCGTACCAATTTATTGACAAAATTTGCCTCATCGATTTCCATCGTTCCAGATCCCAACAATTGCCCTTCAGATATTACCCGTCTTCTCGCGTTGAAAAATCTTAGAAGTGCAACTTATCGCAACCAGGCACCGTTCCAGGAGACACTGAAGGGCCAGGTTAGCTCCAGATATGATTTTTGTCTAGCCCGATCAATGGTTGGTGCTGTGTACGATTTGGCATTGCAATTGGGGAAATTTGATGAGGATCTAATGGTCAGAGATGGAGAGGGCTACAATGAGGGACCCATTGCAACTCCCTCCCCAACGTTATGTGAGTATAACAATTCTATAATCACCGTGTGCGTTTGTTCTGCTCTTGGCCATTTTTTCCCTTCAAAACACGTCTGGAGAAATTCAATAGAGAAACCTAGCGCTCCCTGTAAGAAATTCTATGAATTTCGATTAGAATTGTAATTCTATAAGAATTGTATTGAGATTCGATTGGAAAATTCTATTTGTTTTCGGCGCCATTTCTTTAGATGATATTCAATAGAAAAGTCAATAGATTTTTTTTCCCTACGAATTGTTGGGCATGAATATTCTAAGTTTTCTTTTCTTGGGTTTTATTATGAGAAATAATTGAGTGATTTTAGTGTTTTCTGAAAAGAGGGAAAAAAAATAAAAACAGAAAAAATCATTTTTTTATGATCTAATAAATATAAAGTAAAACGGATACTTGGGAAAGCTCATTGGTAATGGTGAAACCCTTTTTCAGATTTTGAAGTTGGGGATTTTTTGACGGACTTGTCCCTCAATACAGAGGGAATGGTGGAAGACCTATTCACATCTAATTATGAACTTTTGGAAATTCGATCACGTCAGCTGGAAGTCATTCATCTGCTGAGCCAATTGATCGCTTCGGCTCGGGCTCTGAAGGAGAAGTTCAAGAAGCTGATGCTGTATCCTCTCCGCCGCGTTGTTTCGAGCAGCATGGAGACAGACAGCGACAGTTTTTGATGAAGGAGACTTTTTCTCATTATAATACTGTCTCTGGGGATTGAATGACGTTTTGGGAGTTAATCATTTCTGTTTTGACATTAAATTGAGCAGTGCACGATCAGTCTATTTCGCATTTTCCCTCCCAAGAAATACAACTATTAGTTGACATCCCTTGTTCAGTTATTCTTCTTCATCTTCACTTCATTTTCCTCGCAGTCGTGTTATGTTCAGTTAATTACAATCATCACTGTACTATGTTTTGTTTATCATAAAAAACGGAGCTAATAAATCATTTGACAGTTTAAATGATGAATTATCTTTTAATTCTTCTCCATAAGCGCCACATAGTTTTTTTCCTTCCTTTACGATATTATGAGAATAATTAGATTTCGCCAAGGGATGAAAAGAAAAGTAATAGGGGCGGGCGGGAGGTTTAGCGGGGGAGGGGGGGGGGGCAAATCTGCGTAGACGATGAACTGCTGGTTGTCGACGTCTGCCACCTCTACCTGGACAAATTGGGGCTGTGTGTAGATAATTATCTTATAGAATTAATAAAAAAAATAGTGAACTAAATATAATTATTCTCTATACCTTCAGGCATTCCAAGACACACTAGCAGATAGCACTTATTGTAATTCTTTTTCATGTGGAGCAGCGAACTTGTATGTCCAGAGGCCAGGGCTGCATTCTCCCTGCGGATTTCAGATGCAAAAAAAAATTATTAACCGAATAATTTTTACACGAGCGGAGAAGGTCTCGAATCTTCCTGAAGGATGTTATAAAATTATAAAATTGATTATTACAATTTTTTTTTATTGGAAAACTTTAATTACTTGAATATTTGTTTCATCCTGTGGCGCGCTGGGTTAAATAATTATTCTCCCACATATGAATTAAAAAACTCCCTTATTTATTTTCACTAGGAAGAGATTATAATAAACACATGGAGAACTGTCACTTCGTTTTTCGCTCTTTTTTCTCCTTCTATTCATCATCCCTCCTTCTTGCACATTTCCCCATGACATTCACTGTACTACCTCCCCAAAGTTTTTTCCTCCGCCGGTATCCCCACCATTTATTCCGATTCCATCATTCCGGTCGGATCAAACCAAGCATAAAGCCAATTTGACAAGATGCAACAATGCATTTCCATTTCGCATCAACTCCCTATTCCAATGTGTTCACGAACTTAAGTCCTCGACTGTACACATTGTACATATTGTATTCATAATTTTGTAGTTGTAAACGTTGAGAAAATAAAGTGTTCGTATCAAAAACATCATTTTGACTACTGTAAAATCAATCATGACTATGACGAGACGAGAGGAAAATTAAAAAAAAAATACTAGCACAAGAAAAGATGAAATTTTCCAGAAAATGGGACGAGACCGAGACGAGACCGAGGCGAGACCGAGACGAGACTGAGACCGAAATCGAGACGAGACAATTTTTCTTCAACGAGGCCGAGACCGAAACCGAGACGAGACAATTTTTCTTCAACGAGGCCGAGACCGAAACCGAGACGAGACAACAATGTCGAAGACCGAGACGAGACCGAGACGATATCAAATTTTCGAATTTTTTCCGAGACCGAGACGAGACTTTCAAAAGTCTCGTCTCGTCTCGTCTCGTGCGCGGCCCTACCCTCGATATTGGGAATATTTCGGCTGCACACATCTGTGAACGATAAAAATGTTCCCAACGTCGAGTTTCTCCTAGATTAAGGAGATATCAGCTGTGCAATATCAGATGCACTGTAAACATTTGAGTCTAGTCTCGTCTCCTTAATCATGTACTTTCCACGTGTG